ACTTGCTAGGCAATCGCATTTTTTACATATAAACGGTTATTTGTATTACAAACATCCCGGTACTACTCGGAGATATTGAAATTGCCGACGTAAGACAGAATGTGAAGCGCGGGCTATAACTTCCGGCGACGGAGACAGTTTGATTGTATTTAAAGGACCTGCCGTTTCTAAATAAAGTCATGCCCTAAACCACGAAGAAGTGGCAGTTTTAAAAGTGCTTAATTCAGCAAAAAGAAGGGCAGAAGGATATCCGAAAATGCCTCCCGCTTAAATAATTCGTAGAGAATTACGTTGGGTTCCATCAGGTAACTTATTTTACGTGACAGTTTCATTGATAAAATATGCGCAAGGTCTCATTACCTACTCGTATATATATTCTGTAAAAGTGCTAGCGGAATATCCCGACCATTCGAGTTTGCGAAAACAAATATTACGCGTTCGTCTGCGACAAACACTTTCCAATCCTATCCGTCTGGCTGATTTACAAGAAATTCCCGTGCAATATACAGGCGGCAATAAATTTCTCCTGTACGATTCTTTTGAGGATGACGATCACGATAAGAGCCTCGGCAGAATTATTATTTTTGCTACGCCAGCTAATTTAGTGCAACTTTTTCGAAGCGTGGACGGAACTTTCAAATTAGCACCTTTTATCAATTTTTTTCTATTCTCGGAGCCTCCACGTAAACCGGCGTAAATAATAAACAGCAAAAAGTTGGCTTACCTTTTGTTTACGCTCTTGTAGAGAAGAAGAAATAAACAACTTACACTAAAATTTTTGAAATTGTGTTAGAAGAAGGACGTCAACTCGGAATTATCAACTTACCTACTAAAGTTATGAGTGACTTCGAATTATCGATTATACAGGCCGCAGAAAACGTTCTTGATAAAATTGTTTCGTGTTGCTTCTTTCATTTGCGACAAAATATTTATCGTCGTGTCCAACAGGAAGAACTCCAAAATGAATATAACGATGACCGGCCAATAAAAAAAGGGATTCAAGTACTTTATGCTTTAACTTTTATACCGATAGATGAGGTTGTATTACATTTTTTAAGTGTACGTTACGAATTACCTGAAGAAAGTGAGCCTATTATACACTATTTCGAGACTATGTATATACACCGACTTAGTGTCCGAAGACAAACCCAAGCTGGGTTTGCAATGAAACATGCCCTCCAAGATACCGACCTCAACTGTGGAACCATTATGACTCGGTGTACAGGGTATCGCTCGCACTAATAATTTGTCCAAGGGTTGGCATAATCAGTTCCAGGTTGTAGTCGGAAAAGCACGTGCGTATTCTTCGACGAACTAAAAAAAAAGAACAGGCGGACACCGAGATCATGCTACTCCAATTAAACTGGGTAAACGCATAAGGAAATGGGCTTAACAAAAATAGAAGACAAATAGAAGCTAGCATTGCATCGATCATATAACAGTATTAAGAGTACTTGAACAACAATGATATTTACAATTATTTGAAAACAATTGAATATCATAAAATTTTGATGTATATAAATAAAAAATAAGTCCTTAGAAAAAGATAGAAAAACAATTTATTTTGGTAAATATTTTTTATTTTTTAACTTAATCTCCTTTTAGCTCGATATACTTTTACAGGTGTCTTTCAAGTTTTTTTAAGTTATCAGAAAAAAATAATCTTTGAAGATCCTCAAAATAGCCATTTGTTTGTGTTATGACCTCCTTGTTCGAGATAAATCGTTGTCCGACAAGCCACTTTTTCAGGTTTAGGAATAAAAAAAGTTATTAGGGGCCAAATCTGGTAAATACGGTGAATGGTCTACTAATTCGAACTTCATTTCCTTAATTTTAGCCATTAAAACTAAGCAAGTGTACATTCGTGCATTGTATTGATGAAACTGAATTTTTTTTTTGTTCAGATGAGGACGCTTTTCCTTTATTTTCTCGCTTAACCGGTCCAACAACGACGTATAATACTGTCCGGTAATTATTTGTCCTTTTTCTAAATAGTCGGCGAAGATAATTCCACGTGCATCCCAAAAAATAGTGACCATAACCTTGCCGGCCGATTTCACTGTCTTCGCCTTCTTTAGAGCTGGTTAACCTTTCATAATCCACTGTTTTTACTGTTCCTTCGTTTCAGGAGTGTAGTGATATATCCACGTTTCGTCTACAGTTATAAATCGATGCAAAAAGTCGTCCGGGTTACGGTGGATACGCGCCAAGAGGACCTCAGCGGCCACCACTCGACTGTGTCTGTTCTCGACTAAGAGCAAACGTGGCACCCATCTTGCCGAAATTTTTCTCATATCCGATTTCTCATACAAAGTCGAAATAACTATACCTTTTGAAACCCTTTTGGCCTCAACTATTTCGCGCAATTTTATTTTTCGATCACTCAACACCATGTCGTGGATTTTATTGATCATTTCCTGAGTGCTCACATCTACAGGACGGCCGGAACGATGTTTATCTGCAGACGATGTACGGCCACGTTTAAATTCATTTACCCAATTGTAAACAGTTTCAAACACATGGGCAGATACACGATGAACTGCATCTAACTCAGCTTTGATTTTTTTCGGTGTAAGGCCTTTTAAATAGAAATGTTTTATCACCGCTCGGAACTCACTTTTTTCCATTGTTAACAAGAAACAAAAGTTGTTCACTTTGTGACGGAGAATCTCGGCTAGGCCGGTCTCGTCCGTTTGGCTCTCGCAAATGTCCGTGCGCCGCGCCAGGCTGAGAGTGTGTACGTTTGGTACACACACTCATGCTTGGACCTTTTGTTTACGAGGTGCTGACCACGGGCTGAGCTGACGACTGGAGCGATGCAGACGGCGCAGAAGAAGAGAGAAAGAGAGAGAGAGAGAGCGCTCGAATTGCGGATCGCCGGGGAAAATTCGAGGAGTCTCTGCTAAGCTATGAGCAGAGGAAGTCGCGCGCGCGGATAAAACCGAAAGGTCACGGTTTTTCAAGTTGGCCTCGCGACCTCGCCGACGTTTTGTTCGTTTCAGAGACACGCCCGGTGCGCGGACGAGTAATAGAGCGTGAGGCTGGGTCGCGCCCAGCTGTGCCCCGAAAGATACCCGGCACCGGTGCGTGTGGGTGACCGGCGAGGTGCGTGGGTGAGCGCGCGAGGAATTTGACGTGCTGCAGCACCGAGCAACGAAGAGGCGGCAGAAACAACGGCAACAGCAATTCCTGGGAGATATGGATTGAGGCAGCAATATTGTGGAGCAAGCGAGAGGACGAGCGAGAAGACAAATAGTGACGACAACAAGCATCAGCGAGACGGTCAGCGAGGAACACACCAGTGACGTCACACTGAGGAGCGCTCTAGCCGTCAGAGAGGCTGAAGGTCGAGGTCGGTGCCGTGTTTTTCTCTTGATTCTCTCTCTCTCTTGCATGTTTGAGCGCCAGCTTATGGTTGGTAGCACAGCAGACCTGCTGGCTACCCGTTGATAGTCTATCGGCGAGAAGTGTTTGTCGGGCATTTGTTGTAATATTTAGTTTTTATAAGGGAATCGGCAGGCTGACCAGCCACCGATTCACCTTCACGTTCACGTTTATTATTGTGCCGCTCGTAGTGTGTAAGTCCGGGATCGCCGTATTGTAATCGTTTGTTGACAATTAAAAGACTAGCGTATTAATCCGCTGTTGTGTTTATTCGCCGCTGTATCACTCCTCATCCCGACTTCGAATCTGTGCGTTTAACGTGTTTACGCTCGACGCGTTATTCAGTCGTGGGAACGTCTTTTGCTTCCCGAATCCCCTAATAAATAATTTGTGCGAACGGTCGCGAGCAACCCAGACGGGTACGGCCGGAATTCTCCGTCACAACTTTGATCGGCGATAAGGATCGACGATCGGAATTACTCGATAGATCTGGTTGAAACTTCGGCAGCATTTTATTTAATAGTGACGCTTGCTGGTGTATCATAAGTCGAGATGCTTGGATCGCCATCTTTTGGATTTTCTAAGCACTTATTGACCCACCCTCGTATGATTTATATATTTTAGGAAAATTTGATTTTGGGAAAACAAATTGAGAAAAAAGGTCATTACGAAAACTGGTTTGGGAAAACTGTCTATCAACTGATTACACCTCATGTAAAAATGCGATAAGTGACGTATCGTTATGTTACGTAACTTGCAAATACGAGTTTGAGTGTGAATCGTTCACTGACCAGAAATCAGATCAGCCTTCTTTCTAAGTAACAGGGAGTTTACTAAAGCGCGATCCCTAAAATATTTGTGTCAATAAATATTTTGTAAATGACTTTTGTATATCAAGTAAAGTCTTTTTCCCTCCTCCATTCACAAAAAAGTAAACATGCCATGCGAGTCGGTGACAGTACACTAGAGACTATTATTTAATCGATTTTACAGCTACATGAAATTAATAACATGGAAATTGTAATTTAAATTGTGATTACGAAGAGTCTATTTTGAACATATAACCACATCGCTACTTCTTAACGGTGCGTCTGATACGATTGATCGTACGAAGATCAAAGTTAGCAATTCATAGTCAAATTATAATTTCTGTGCTATTTATAATATAGGTAGAAAATTGATCGAGTATACTACATCCTACTCGCATATATCATGTACTTTTGTTAAAAAGCTTGTCGGTAGAGCAGAGAAATCTAGAATTACTGGGTTCAAGCTATGCACACAACGGAATCGTGCTTGAAATTCCTTATTTAATTCTTATTCAATTTTTATTTAATTATATATTGCGATTCCCATTCCTAGCCCTGTTACTACTTTACCATTTATTCTAAGAGATCAAGAACATATCTAATATTCATCCTCTTATAGCCAATTCTTCAGTTTACTGCTCTATCATAGACTAATTTTTGGATTCCAATCTGCTATGTTAGGCACAGTGAGCTTAAGAAATGTGAATCCCACTGTCATTCCATTAGATAGAGCCCCAAATTCGATTAAGTTAACTTTATTGTGATTATTAACAAAAGAATAAGCAATTATTTTTGCACGTTTTACAGACAAGACTATCGTCACTATTGAAAACTGCTGAAGATTTGCACATAAAGGGCCTTGCAGAAGTAAGTTGGCGTAGTGAATCGGCGGCCGCGGCTGCTGCAGCCGCAGCCGCAGCTGCAGCAGCGGCTCAAGGTGAAGCCCTCATCGCAAGTGGACATAGCCCCGGTGTGGAGACGGTGCTACGCGAGGGTCTTGAGACGGAACTCGCAACTGAGCTACCACCACCACCCAAGCAGAGACGTCGGGGTAGACCGCCTCTTGATGACCCACCGTCCGCTCATGATGTCTTCACGCCCAAAATCACTTGCATTACAGCCAACGTAAGAACGAAATTGATAAGTTGTAACTTTTTACACTGCAATATTCAGCACCCTTCTTCGCTTAATGCAGGTTCGCGGAGCGCACACAAGACGAACAAACAAAATAAACAGATAGCTAAGAAAACAAGACTATTTGACAGGATGTTATAACAGATTTGCATTTCAACAAAAACCGTTATACTCCAATAATTTGTAATTTAAATGAAACATCACTATTCCACATCCTTCTCTGCATCATAACCTAGTGTGGATAACTTTAATTATTGTCAAAAACTAAAATTGAACAAGAATAAAAAAATCTACGATACGCGTTAATTAAGGGCTCTCTCCGTTGCGTAATTTTGTAATTATCGATGCTTGTTCAATATTCGCCTATAATCAGTTATTGAAGCCATTCACCCTGAATAATAATCTATAAATAATAGAAAATTGTGATAATTAATGAAAATTCTTTAAATTACTCGAGTGTAATATGGTTTCTACGAAAATAAATAGGTTTGATTTTTTAAATATTATTTGATTTTTTAAATATATTCGTGTGCGACGCGTTGTTCCAGTCACTTGAACTTCTGTTGGATATATTGTTTAAAAAATATGCTATGGTTAACTGATGAAGATCTTTTACATTTAGCAGGAGGATCTGAGCGAAGGTGATCACGAGAGTTGGGACGATGAGATGATGATGCCGGAGAGCAACGAAACCCCAATGCCCATCGTAAGTAATCAGCAAATAAATCAGGAAAAAACGAAAACTGTTTGTTATTTGCTTGGTTTTTGTAGCTGTCGTACATGCCGAAGGATGATAGCATGTTAGAACAGGAAAAAAAAGGTAATATCACTTAATACCTGGATGGAAAACGTGGGGGCTGTAGCTTATGTAAAAATTAATTGGTTATTATAATGTTGACATTTATTTGGAGATAATTACATACATTTCGGTCTGTAGTAATCGATCGTACATTTCATGAACTGTGATTAGGATTTAGTTCACAAGAATCAGCATTTCTGGAGTTATACCATTATAGGTGGGATACTTTAATTTGGGCTTGCGAACAATGTAATAAAGCTTGCTGTTAGGAAGAAAGCGTTATTAGCGACTCGCTATTACTTTTTCGAGTGTTATGATTTCATTGAATAATCAGTTAATATTTTATAGAATAATGATTCAATATATATGTTTATATGCATTTATTCCTTATTTTATGAAATAGAAACGTTAGAATATACTTTTGAGAAAAGCGGGATCGATTGCGGAATTAATTACTACTGATATTGTTTCAAAAGAAACGTAAGAATTTTTATCTTACGTTAAAAATCAAGTAATTAACTATTTTTACGGTTTCTGAGATATAAATCTTTTCGTAAGGGATTTCTCCTGTGGTGCAAATAATTCTACCTGAAACACTTCTTTAAATTGAAAAAAAGTACGCAGGCCACAAGTAAGTTCAGCGCGTATATTACTTCTAGTTGGGTATAGATATCAAGTAGAGAGAAGCAATATGGGTCTTTACCCAATATAGGATTATCGTCGAATACTCGTGAAATTACTTGTGCTATAGCGTATCGACGCTAATCAGAAATTTTCTAACCATGTGCCGTCTTAATCGTTATTGTTGTACGAGTATAATAAATATGGAATTCCAGTGCACATAAATAATGAATTATAAATAAACATCACAATGTTTTTTTTTATTAAAGTTTTGATTTTTTGTGCATAGTTTAAGAAAAAATTTGACATATTAAAATAAAACGTAATTATTTCATTTAGCAAAGCTAAAATATCGATTTTTCTTTTATTGTTCAAAAGTACTGTTCGAACGTAACAGTAACATTGTCATATAATACTAATTAACATACCGTTTTTATGGTAATAAAAAACTATGCAAATCTTCATGGACCATGGCGGTCGGGCACGTCGGATTAGCTAAGGCTTCTCCCAATTTATTCTTCCTATGTGAAACGAAACTCACCGCCCTTATCAGATATGGCCATTATCAATAATCGCCTAATCATCAAACATCAGCTAGCCGTTTAAACTTACTTAACTATCTCTAAACAATTGTTCGAAGAGGTAAAAGTAAATTCGATATTAGCATTACTATATTAGAGAGTCTATCTGTAATTCATCGGATAATTTGTTTATTCATCTGTATTTGTCGTACCCGCTACTTGTTTCCTTCGCATTTATTCGTTTTCATACTTTATTCAATCTATTTTCTGTTTACTATATAGACATGCTTCGTTTTGTTTTTCTTACTCAACTTTCCGCACATCGGAATATATTTCCACATATAAATGTATAAGATATTTTGATACAATAATATTTATATTTGTTGCATATAATTCAATTAAAAACGCTGTTTTCTGAATAGTTCCATATCGGGCCCACTATCTGCATACCCCTAAAAAGGAGGTTTGGTTTAGAATACAATAGCTCGAGTTAGATATAAAAACAATCATGCAGTGGTTCATTTTAAGGAACATTCATACACAAACATATCCATTCGTTATCAAAAGTTATAACAGTTTGCGTATAGTTGTTTCATTGGAGGGTTCACTCACCTTAATTGATTAATAGGGAATCCATAATCCGATGTAGATAGAAATCGTGCTTAAAAATGGGATATTAACAAAGTGTTATTGCAGTTAATACAACGCAAAACTCGAACGCCATGAATCCAGCAATACCAGAGCAATTTCGTGATGTTGTAAAGATGAACGACTATCTGACAACAGGCAGACGGCAGGAGTTTTGGGAGGAGCCTTTTACGCGACGCGTCATGGATGCGATAAAGAGCAAAGAGCTCGAGATGAAAACTGCAGCTGAGATACTCGGTGTTTCCTATGGCACCCTTTACGGGAGATATCGAGACAGTTACGGCTGCCTCAAACATCCTTACAGGCAAGTTACAAATTTTACTCTCATTCGCTCTTTCGTCTCTCTCTATCTCTTCCTCTGTTTTACGTCGTACCTCGCGTGTGTATACATATTTTCATGTACGTTTGAACATTACAGAGTACGGGACTTTTGGTCGGAGCCGGGACCTGCGGAGATTCTGGCCAAACTAAGGCGAAAGGAAATAACGTTATTTCGCGCAGCAGAGTTTCTCAATGTGACTGTTCATACGTTAGCGACGTACCTATCAACTTTACAGGGTCCCGAACGGATCTCTCTCGCAGGTGACCTCAGTGTTTCACCCGCCAGTCAGGTAGGCGTTGACCAAGCACCACCTCCGCCACCACCGCCTGCAATGGGACCCGAGGCTGACATTGCTGAACAGCTCAGCATGAGCGAGATGCTCCACAAGATGAATGCGGCTGCCCAAGCTGCCTCTCCCACAGCATGTGCAAGTATCAAACGCGAAGGTGGTGGCTATGTCGATCTAGCTCAGGTCGGCTGCCTCGTACCCAAAGCCGCAAGTTCTGTGCTCGAGAATAATCCCGATATCACGATTGTCAAGGCCGACAGCATGCAGCGTAAGCGTGCTCTGACTGACTATACAAAACTTGCCACTACCGAAAACAATAATGCCAAACTAATGAGTGGTGGTGCTGCCGCAGTCGTTGGTGAGCTCGCTCAAGCCCAGCTGATTGCTACCCACCCAGGTATCTCACACTCCTAGCATTGCTTCTAGGCAGTTGCCAAGATAATTCTACACTCTCATTCTAGTTTGGCTCCCATTTCAATCTTATCATATATCTTTAAAGTTTTTTTGACTTTGCAATATCTTTTTGTTGCATATCTAGCCAATGGTGAACACGTTTTAATAGCTAGCTTATTACTAATAAAAATCTTATAGGAAACTTAAAATATTAAGTAAATAATAAAAAATGAGCTAGCTTATTAAAAGAAAGTTTTTAATATGTGTTGCAATTATTCACGTAAAAACTTAATGCAACCTTCTATCAGTCGTAATTATTAAGAATACAAATTTCTCATCGTTCATGCTCAGAAAGTGCTGCATAATGTGATTATTTTGTGCAGAGTAAATAGAGGATTTTGTTATTCGATTAAAATATCAGCGTTGATTGGCGCGCTTTCCATACTTTTTTCAGTTTTTTTTATCTTAAATAATTAGCTTCCTACAGCTTCAATAAATCAGAACTGTTTTAAATGATCTTGAAAGTTGTAATACACGACATTTATCTAATAATAATACAATTAAAAATATTTTACAATCATATTAATATTTCTTTGTAACTAAAACTCTATTAATATTCATTATCTAAAATAATTGATAGTTTTAATCGCTCCAAAATTATATAACATTTAAAACATAAATTATCAAGAACGACGAGATGTTTAAATTAGTAATAATAATATTATTTATGTTATTTGATAACATTTTTGCATCATATAACTTAACATTGTTATTAAACATAATTTCATATATTTTGAAATGACTTACTCTTTACTTTAACTCTGAAATTTATAGAATTTTACTTCTAATTTTTCCTCTTATCTGTATAAAATATATAATCATTTAATATAATTTCAATTTTCATTAGCCTTCAGAATAATGCATTTTATTATTAAAAAAGTTCGATTTCTATACAAATGTAAAAATGGAATATTTATTTTCACACTTTTTCATAGATTAGTTAATCATAATCTTGAATGTCGGCGACTCATCACTTTTAAAATAAATAAAAAATTCAATAAAATACACTAAGATACGTAAATCGTTAATTTACTCTCGCTACATCAAAAACGTTGTATTACGCATTAGCAAGATTTTTGCTATTTTATGCTAAGTGCTATTCTACTAACCCATTAATTTTCAAAACTATGAGCACAGAAGGTATTGAACGTCGACAGGTATCTATTTCATTGTATTTTTTGACGCTTTTCCCATGGTGTTACTAAAAATATGAAAAATCGTATACTTTTTTCAACGAAAATACATTTTTTTTACACAACGAAAGACATTTTTTTTAAATTGCCATTTTGATCACGATAACGTTTTTGAATTAGTATCAAAAGTGTTAGAAACGTTAGACACAAATTCCATACTTTGAAAATGTGTATGTACCAAAATCGTTATTCGTTGTAGCTGACCCGAAATTACGATCGTAACTTTGACATTTCTTACCGTTCTTAAATATTTTTGATTACTGAAGATTAACTATTTTTTAAATTTAATTATAATCGAATAAAATGAATGTTTCACACACAATTATGTACATATCATACACACACGCGCGCGCGCGCACGCTCGTACATAGTAATTTCTTATTTATTTGGAAATTATATAATTTATTTAATTTAAAAATTTATATTTTGAAAATTTCAATTGTTTTATAATTTCGTATTACATTTTTCATTAGTTCTATATTTCGGAATTTATAGACTGATTCTGTTAAGAAAAGTTATATAAAATTTTCTATAAACTACCAAATATTTTTCAATTTTACGACAGCGAAAATGTAACATAATTTTGCGAATGTATTTATTTTATAAATTGTTTTATCTGTAGAAGTGATAACTATCATCTATTCATGAGTTTTTCAAATGTGCAATGAGTTTTTCAAACGACAAAAGTTCATTTGAAAATTAATTGATTCGAAGTTTTCCAAATATTTTCTAATAAATGTACAAAAAGAAAACAAAATCTTAAAATATTTGTGTAATTTTACGTCACGTGTATGATTTTTATTTTGAACTATTAATGGATAAATAAAAATAAACTACTTCAAATAAAGCCAATTATTTACGAGCAAAATACAAAAATTGTTTCTATAATGTTTTGCTTGACTTTTACACTTATGAAAATGAAGTGACTGAATTAGATTCCTGATAGCGCTGGTGATTTCGAATGGAGTGGACAAATTTTCGAAAGTTTTGTAACTACTCGATCAAAATATACACGTGAACGATCAATTTGTATTATTTTTCACTTTCTTTTGAAAGAGTCTATTTTAAATGTCCGAAAATCTATAAACTTTAATAGATATATCTCAACACTTTTCCTAACCTTCAAATTTTTCAACATCCTCCACGCTGAAGCCCCTTCAAAGTTTAATCCGAACCACCAAGAGTGACAGTAACAAGCATATGAAAATTTAATTTCTGAAAATGTTCACATGCCTCGGGCTAGAACCTCTTACATAAAGGCCGACTAAGTTCTTACCCATTAGGCAACCGTGATTACATTTTATGTACAATAAAATAATGTCTCGGAGAGATTATTCGTTGAACAATCCTGATTTAAGAACTATTTCTATATAATTATATATTACCATCAAGCAAACTAAAGAAACGTACGTGGATCTCTTTTATTAGGATTATTCAAACATTGTTGATAAATACTCTAGTCACACAATAACAGTTTCTGTTGTTTAGAAAAATGTAGAATCAGGGACCGAAAATTCTGCATTATGTGCGATCAATTTTATTGTTGCAAATATTTGAGACGTGTATATGATGATACAAAATACACACATATAAATAAATACACACACACACACACACATATTTGTAGTTTAAATGACATCATTGACAGACAAAAAATAGTGATATAGATACATGTCAATGTTCGATACCTTTTGTACTCATAGATAACAAACGTTCAAGTTGGAGATTGCCAACATACAATTTTAGGTTTGATAAGATGAGGTCTACGTAAGTACTATTATGGAAGCAACAACACTAGAATCATCATGAGTAATTACTTTATTTGAATGAAACCATGACATTTCGAAGATGCCCCTCTTCAAGTTCATGAAATATACCATACACGATCTCAGACAAGCAAAAATTGTAATCTGAAATTCGCCAAATTTCTGCTCGTATTGTAATTTTCATACTTTTGTAATAAACTAGCTAATACTGCAAAGGTTGTTATATACATATATATCCCTAGATATGTATAAGGATAAGCTTATTTTGATACCTCACAATTTTTACCTATTTTTGCCCATTTTCACTTCTCTGGTTGTCCTTTTCTGCTTGTGTTTGCCCCTTTATGTTTGCGTTTTATTGTGTATATTCTTTTTTTACATAGTAGTTTATTATTTTACAGTTTTTGTCCACATATAAAGTTTTAAATATATTTTTTTATTAGAAATGAATTTTTTCATTCATTCATTTGTTCTACTCTTGGATTTTGTATTATTTTCATTAAATCAATATTGAAGTTATTAATTGATGTATTATATCGCATTTATTAGCATTATTATCTTTATAAATAATGTTTTAACTTTCTTATTAGAAATCTTAAATATTTACTATTATTTTTTACTTTTATTAAATATATATACCATTTTCTTGTATGAAAATATATATATGCACATAGGGATAAGCATTTTTTATCCCGCAGCCATGACCCCGTTCGCCTCTTTTTACCCTTTTGGTTGGCTCTTTTTGCCTGTAGGTTACAGCTTGTCAATATTTTAAGAATAATAAGTGGTTTCTTCGGAAAAGTCAGACAAATATATTTCATAGATATGTTTTAATTAGTACTGATCGTAGATTTTATATCAATAATGCTTAAGATTGGAATATGGGGGGTTGATGAGCAATGCGAGCAGGGAGTATCTCCTAGTGTGTGGATGCTTGAATGTGTGTGCGTATGTGTGTGCGCGCGCGCGTGTGTAAGAATGACATCAAAATTTAAAAACAAAAAATTGTTTGTAAATTCTGATATAACTTACATATTAAGAAGTAACTCAACTCAATCCCATGTTCGTATTGTTCAACATTCAACAGTTTCATAGATAAAAATTAATTATTTAACCCTTAACTTGCACACCTCATTTTGGCCACGTAACTGCTCGGTGGTGTTAACCCCAGCCCGAAAAACATCGAATAAATCAGAGAATTTTAGATATTTTGCTATAAAAATTTTTTCTAGTATATTTCAAACCTTTTACTACAAAAAAAATATTCAGTTTAACAATTTTTAATGTTACACACACTGAAAAAAAATTGTTGAAAAAAAAAAAATTTTATTTATTGTTAAAAATCGTCTGGGGTAAATCTATCCCACATAGCAGTTAAGGGTTAAGAAAAATAACTTAGTCACATGCTCAACGTCTTGGCGATCAGTAAAAATTAGCAGACGTTTGGCTGCTTGACTACTTGAAATTCTATTATCTCTTCATATAAAGAATGTAAGTAATATCAGGGATCTCAACGATCTTCAGAAGGCACTGTTATTTATCCTACATTCAAATGTTAGCATTAAGTAACATAGGCCATGCCAAATTTATACGGTCTTTGTATACAGCGGAATTCATAATACAGATATTCTCTCTTAAACACACGATTCCTCCTAGTTTTATGTCACGTTATATTCAAAGACACATGATTTCAAGTGATACCTGTAGTAAGAATAATTTAGTTGGCGGTAAGCGTTATTGACGGCGTCCGGACAATTGTGCACGGTTTTATTGTATACATAAACTATAAAGCACAATAACATGGTGCGAATCAACGTGTATCAATTTTTACACTATGTCACTATGCACAATAATTTGTGTGTATATTATAAACGTGCACAATTGTCTGCATATCTGGTAAACATACACATAAAAGATGAAAATTATTATTTTTTTTTTAAATTAGTATTTGTTTTTATAAAAAAAATGTACTATTCTAATGCGGT